GGTGTATCTACACAATGGAATACTACACTTTGGTACAAAAGAAGGAGCTCTTAACCATTTGCAACAGCATGGATGGAGATGGAAAGCCTTATGCTAAGTGAAATAAGCCAGGCAGAGAAAGATAAATATCACACTATCTCACTCATTTGTGAAATATAATGAACAACATAAACTGATGGAGGAAAAAATAGATCCAGAGACAGAGAAACATCAATCAGAACGTCAAACCTCAGGGAAGAAATTGTGAGGTAACTAGAAACCCAAGAATGCCTGAGAATGCCTTTCTAGCTTTGCTAGCAATAATTAGATGTACGGTAATATTACCTGGGGCAAATGGGGAAGTATTTTTGGCTTATGCTACTGACCCTTCATGGGTAAGACTCCTTATGTAGGCTGATCCCCCGCCTAATGTAGTCACCAATAATACCAAACACTTTGGTCATCCAGGAGGATCATGGGAGGGGCAAGAAAGTATAATTACACAGGGTCACCACCCAGCTTTCCTTCTGTATGACACAAAATCATACAGATGTGTGTAAAATTAAAGAGAGGTTCCTGGCGGACACCAAAGAAAGGGTGTCACTACTATCACTACTTGCTCCTGGGAGAGGTGCAGAAAATGTAACTAAGACATTGTCTATACAAAAAGAAATGGACGACCAGTTTGAAATGAAATTGCCTAGAGCAAAGAATATCCTTACATGATATTATTCTACAATGTCATTAAAATTTTTCCCAGATTTGTGCTATCCCCATTACTTATAATAATACCTTAACTCTTGGGGATCAATAAAAAAAAATCATCTTTTTGAAGCTTGGAGACAAAAGCAACACATCTCTTGATATTTTAGAATTACAACAGCATAATATACAATTATCCGAAGCGAACTTAAAAACTAATTCTTTGAATGTCTGGCAGCAATTTAAAAAGCAAATGAAAGGATTTAACCTCTTCCATTGGGTAGAGGGCCTCCTGGGAAGGCACCTGAGCATTCTATATTGGCCCCTCTTGCCCTTTTGGTGAAGAGGGATCCTCTTCTCACAATCCAATTGCCCACAGCTGTTAACTGAGCTTTCTGTTCATGTCGAGGTTGAAGCCTCATGATGATTGTACCATGGATTTGTCTCTCTCCCAGTGGGGCGAGCTGGGCAGACCCTGGAGAAGAAACACTGTTCCCCAAGATATGTGATCAGTGCTGGGGCCCCGCCAGCAGGTGAGGGGATCCCAAGGCAAGAGCTGGGCATGGAGGCCATGGAGGTATAAGGTACCAAGGAGACAGAACTGAACCTCACATCACCCTGCTTGGCCCCAGAGGATGGCGGGTTAGCCAAAGACGGGTAAGATTCCTCAGGGAAGGAACAACCTAAGACAGGCACAGTTGAAGAGGGGCCATCAGGAGAGAACTTGGGGGTCAAAAGAGGTGGTGCACAGACCCTCCCCCCGTCCCTCAACTTTGCAGGGGCCTGAACCCTTACCACTTTTGAGCTGGGCATGGCTGCTTAACTTCCCGTGCCCAGCTCAAATCGGGACCCAGGTAACAGACAGAGACTTGGCCGACAACAGCTGCCCTCTCACTACAATAAGACTTGAGTTGTCATGTGTGGTTTTTGATATCTAAATCTAGCCTACCACCAGGAATGCTCAGGGCTTACTCAAGAAGGCAAATAATCCATAATCCTTTCCACTAATATTTAGAGAGTAAAATAAGATTGTTGTTAGAGTAATAAATTTAACAGTAAAATAGTAGACAAGTTTTCAGGCTAATTTAAACTGGCTAATTGAAATAAGCAAATATTCTAGGTAAATTAATTGTACTGGACAAAAAGCTGTTCCTAAATTGTTAACTAAAAATGTTATTGATAGTTCATCTCATGATAAAATTGCATAACATGTAATGAACCTAAAGCAGTCATATAATAGTGCAAAAAAATTAAAATCTAAAAGCTATCAAGACTATATTATAAAATTTCCAAAAATCTCCTAATATTTTTAGGAGATTAGGGGATAGTAGAAGAATATTATGTAAGGAAAAATATCATATAAGTAAATTACATCTAGAAAATTTGTACTTTAGAAAATTAATGGTGATGCTAACAGCAAGACACCCATGAAAAACACACATGGTGTCAAAACAAGCCAGAGGAAAATCATTTGGGCAAAAAATGAAAAAGGATCCCAAGTCAAATTTATAGAAAATATTCCTTTATTAACTTTTGTTTGAGAGTATGTTTGTATGTTTTCAGAAAACAACTCCAAGACCATGTGGATTCCGGCAACAGAGAGGAATTGACAGAATTACTCTAGCCTTGAAGACAGAAGAGAAGCAGTCCAGAGATGGAGGACCCTGACATCTCCTTGCCATAATAGCAGTCAGCAGGTTGCCCAGGACCAAACCAGATAGGGTTGGACCTGCATTACCACCTTTTGTCCACTATCCAGGACTGAAATATCATTGCTGACATGTACACATAAGGAACTGTTTGACATTGAAATTGGGTCTCAAAAGAACTGTTGGCCCAGAAAGGAATTCACTACAGAGTGATTCATTTGCCTCTCAGCATAACCATTATTGCTTGTTTCATTTTTGGTTCTTATAAGTGTATTTCCAGTAGGACATGATCTCACTCATCTATGGGAAATGATGAACAAGATAGACTGATGAACAAGAACAGACTCAGAGATAAGGAGGCATGGATCAGACTGTTGGACCTCAGAGGGAGAGTGGGGGAGGTGGAGGATAAAGGGGAGAGATCAACCAAAGGACTTGTGTGCATACACATGAGCCTAACCAGTGGTCAAGGACAACAGTGGGGGGGGGGGGGGGGGGCATGCGTGGGGAGGGGTGGGGGATGGGAATGTGGGGACGAGGACAAATATGTGCTACCTTAATCAATAAATAAATTAAAAATAATAATAATAAAGTACTGCATTATAATATACTAAAGGCCCAGTACATGAAATTTTTGCACAGGTTAGGTTGCTAGGCCTGGCCTGTGATCAGGGCCAATTGGGGCCTTCTTTCCCGCTGCTGCTGGTGGTCAGGGCACATCATAGCAAGCGGTCAAACTCCCAAGAGGACAATTTGCATATTATCCTTTTATTATATAGGATTAGTTTTACAGGCTTCCCAGAGCACCCAACATTCCCACACATAAGGATGGCCAGTCATCTAATTGAACAGTGTTTCTGAGTATGTCTGTGACAGTGTTTCAAGGAGCAGCCGGCCTCAGTGTGGGTGACCATCGTCCAATCTGCTGAGGGCCTGAGCTGGGATATTAACCTTCACTTGCACTCAGTGCTCCTGATTCTCAGGCCCTCAGACCCAAACTGGGATCTACATTTCCCAGTAGATCCATTGCCCCTCCAACTCTCAGGCCTTTGAATTATACACCCATATATATATATATATATATATATATATATATATATATATATATATATATATATATAAATTTTATTGGTTCTGTTTCCCTGGAAAACTCTGACCAATAGAGTTGGATTATTGTAAATGCCTCTGGACTGCTCTCCATGTTACCAATCTTGCTCCTCACAATCCATTTTCTACACAACATCTGGAGTGATCTTTTTATTTCATAATATAATTATATCACTTTCCAGCATAAGCTCTCCAAACATTATGATTGGAATTACATTATGATTAGAATAAAATCTAAAGTCTTTCATGTCCTTACAAAATTCAACCTGTGCTTGCCTCTTCAAGTCTGTCTCCTTCAACTCTCCCCTTGCTGCCTTATCCTCCAGCCATACTTAATTATTTCAAGCTAATTCCCGTCACAGAGCAGCCTTGCTGCCTATAATCTTTTCCTCAGATTTTTACATAATTGCTTGTTTATCATCACTCATGTGTCATGGTTTCTAGAGTCCTTGCCCTTTCCTGCATCCATGCCATATATGGAGAAATTCCTACCTCCTGGCATGCCTTCTTTTTCCTTCTCTTCCCAACATTAGCCAGAAACAACTCATCCCCTAGCAATGGCTAACTCTGGTTATAATTGTACAGTAAGAAAATCCATTCACTCAAAAAAAACTTTTCAGGGCACTAGGCTAGATTAAAAAAAAAAAAAAAAAGGATCATAAAAATGAGTTACAACCTGCTCATTCTCCTTAGGGAGAGGACAACAAAGAGAAAAAGGGAGAAAACTCAAATTACTATGGCCTATTAAGTGCTTCTCATTTTTCTGGTTACTTAACAAAGACCATTTTACTTAATCCTCTCAATAATCCTATGAGATAAATATCTGCCTCCAATTTACAAATAAGGAAACTGAGACAGAGTTTCAGAAAATTGTCAAAGGTCACAGAGCTAGTAAGTGGTAGAGATGGGTTGCAAACCCAGATGTATCGGCTTCCAACACCAATAGAGCTTATAGGACTTACAATGTGGCTGGGAAAAACACACACGTAAGCATTTAGCACAGTCGTTTGGCACACAGTAAGAGCTTAATAAATACTCACTATAGCAGCAATAATGACCCAGCACATTTAGAACAAAAGCCAAAGTCTTTACCACAATGCCCTTCATTCACATCACTCCTACTCTCCTACCCTCCTTGTATCTCTTCAAATTCGTCATGTCCATTTCTGTTTCCAGGCCATTGCACTTGCTTGCATTTCTAGCTGGAACACTCTTCCCACATATAGTCCATGTCTTACTCCCCCAGTCATTCAAGACTTTGCTCTCCTGTCACCTTGAAAGCTTCCCAGAGCACCCAGCATACCCACATACTCTGTAGACCCCTTACCTTACATTATTTCTTATAGCACTTTTCCGTATAGATTATAGATAGTCTGATTTGTTTATTCATGTGTTTATCTGTGTGTTGGTTTATATTCTACTAGAAAGTAAGCTCCATAAGGGCAGAATCTTTCTGTGTGTTACCACATTTCCTCAGAAACCAGAACACTTGACTCATAGTAGATGCTAAATAAACATTTTTGATAAATAAATAAAACTAATATATTATAATGCAATACTTTATCATTTTGAGATTAAGTGTTGTGTCCTATTGTGAGAAAATGTATTACTATATAGTATTAAAATCATCCAGTGAAGGTGGTTTATTTTTTCTGGAGCAGTCCTGGAGGCTGTACTGCTACAACTTTGAGGAATGGTTAGTGTTAAGGAAAAGAGTGACTGTGACGCCTCACTGCAGGAACTAGTTGAGGAGAGGACACTGGGACAGTCAACGGTGCTTTGAGCTAGAAGGTACCTACAGCTCATCTGGTAGAAAATGTCATCATTTTCACCTGAGGAAAAAGGAACTGAGATTGACTCTGTGATCCACCCAGAGGGGCAGAACCAAAGCCTAAGACTGAGTCTCCACATTTTCACTCATGTTGCTTTTTTACTTGTAAAGTACCTTCTAGATTCCTGAACTCAGTTTTACACAACTGTCTAATTGGTCTAAAAGTTAATTTCATGCTCGCGTTGCTAGAGGTTGGTTCAGAAACTTTGGCCCAAGTCAATGAGCACAAGGCACGCAGTCACAGGTAATGGTGTATACATGAGCATGTGATAAAATCTGAGGTCGGTGAGATGTGAGAAGTTTGTCAAGGGATTCCTGGAAAGTTCCCTCACTCTTCATAAAGTATGTTGTCTTATGCAGCTGTGAGGTCCACAGATCTTTTTTTTTTTTTTAACTGGTTTCGGCAGAAATACCATATTTTTAAAAAATATATTTTATTGACTTTTTAAAATAAATTTTTATTGTTCATATTATTACAAATGTTCCTTCCCCCTCTCTCTCCATTCCTCTCCTCCACCTGGTTCCCACCCCACCCTCTGCCCTTTCCCCATCCCCCATTGTCCTCATCCATAGGTGCACAGTTTATGTTCAGTCTCTTCCCATATCCCCCTCTCCCCTTTTCCTCAAGAATCGTCAGTTCACTCCCCTTCCATACCTCTGATTCTATTATATTCAACAGTTAATATTGTTCATCAGATTTTTTTTTTTTAATTTCCTTGGCTTTTAGATTTACTTGTTGATAGTTACGTATTTGTTGTTCATAATTTTTATCTTTATTTATTTTCTCTTCCTAAAGAACCCCCTTCAGCAATTCATATAATTCTGGTTTGGTGGTGATGAACTCCTTTAGCTTTTTTTTTTTATTATTAATAAAGCTCTTTATCTGGCCTTCGATTCTGATAGCTTTGCTGGGTAGGTTATCTTTGGCTGTAGGTTCTTACTATTCATCACCTTGAATATTTCTTGCCATTCCCATCTGGCCTGCATGGTTTCTGTTGAGAAATCAGCTGACAATCATATAGGTGCTCCTTTATAGGTAACTACCTGCTTTGCTCTTGCTGCTTTTAATATTCTCTCTTTGTCTTTTGCTCTTGGAATTTTAATTATGATTTGTCTTGGTGTGGTCTTCTTTGGATTCCTTTTGTTTGGAGTTCTGTGCACTTCCTGGACTTGTAAGTCTAATTCTTTCACCAAGTGGAGGAAGTTTTCTGTCACTATTTCTTTCAGTATGTTTTTGATATCTTGCTCTCTCTCATCTTCTGGGACCCCCATAATTCTGATGTTGGTTCGCTTGAAGTTGTCCCAAAGGTTTCTTACATTATCTTCAATTTTCTGGATTCTCTTGCCTTCTAGCTTCTGTGAAGAAGGGTCTTCTGGCTCTTTATGTTCCAAATCTTTGACTTGATTATTGCGATCTTCCATTCTGTTTTTAGGACTCTGTATAATATTTTTTATTTCAGACAATGTATTCTTTATTTCTTGTTGATCCCTTATCATTTCTTGTTGATTCCTTATTAATTCTAGTTGATCCCTTTTCATATCCTCATAGGTCTTATCGATCTTTTCTAGGAAATTCTTGAAAAACCTTACAAGAGTAGATTTGAACTCTATATCCAGGCACTTTTTGTCCTCTATTTCTTTCGTTTGTGATCTATTTTGTTGCATTTTCGCAGCTTCCCTGAGGGGGCGGGGTTTCAGGGTGGAGCCTGCAGCCTTAGCTTCCGTCAGCCCCGCCCTATGCAGCTCCTGAGTCTCAGTAATCCTCAGGGTCCTTCAGTACTCACTGCAAGCACCTCTGAGGGAAGGTGCCCTCGATTTTCGCCTGCTCCCAAACAGTCTATGCTCTCCCACAATGAGCCCAGAACTGGGGTTCAGTTCAGTTGGAAATGGAGTTGAAGGTGGCGTTCAGAGCAGTCCGGAACTTTTGTCTCCTTCCCGCCAGGGCAATCCCACAGCACAGCCAACCGTCCCTTCTCTGCGCACAATGTGCGAGCCTCCGGAACCTCCTTTCACTGCTCCCCCAGGGTTCCGCCTTACAGCCCAGCTCCCTATGGATGAGCCTGGGTCCCAGGGATCTGGCCCAGAACTGGGGTTCAGAGCAGTCGGAACTGGGGCCCAGCACAGTTGGAGCTTTTATCTCCTTCCCGCTAGGGAACGCCAGCCAGGCACTCCGCCGCCCTTCCTCTCCGGCTCCGTTCTCTCTCCGTGCACTGCTTGTCTCCGTACCTTAGGCTTTTACAGCTCCTCCACTTTTCCTTCTGGTTTTCTCATTGCTTCTCGTTGTAGAATTTCCAGTCAGTCGACTTTCCTGTAGTTCTGGGTAATGTCCATTTTATATTTTAGTTGTATTTTATTAAAATTGTTGTGTGCGGCTGCAGCTAGGTGTTTACCTGTGCAGCTAGCTTGGATTCTCCTCAGGTCCACAGATCTTGTAGTTTCCATGACACCGGCCTGATGATGAATCTGACATATGGATGACAGTAAAGCCGATAATCTCAGAGAAATGGAAGTGGAGCCCTGATGACTCATGCCAGGTCCCACCAACCTGTGGTCTTTTTCAATACCGTGAGTCACTGAATCTCTATATTTTTCAAGCCACTTTGAATTGGGTGTTTTGATGCGTGAAGCTGAAAATATGCCATCTGATAGAGAGGCTAGGTTGCCTCATCACTAAAATGGGTATAATAATAACTATTGTATGAAAGTCAGAAGCATTAAATTAGTGTATATAAAATGTTTAGTATAATGTCTATCACATCATAAATACAAATCAAATGTTTTTATCACTCTTATTGCAAGAAATTTTAGCAAAATGAAAAAAAAAATCAATTATGGAGTTAAATAAATTTGACAACCCGGCAATGGAATGTCTACTTTCCCCGATATAAAATTATATGGAGGCATCAGTAGGGAAATGTTCAGTAATTCCTGATTAAAATGTAAATTGTTACTTTCACTGTTTTTCCCCCCCATTTTTAAATATTTCCTTTTTACCAACCTCTCCCTATTTATCTCTCACACACACCCCCACCCAAGCTTCTGATAGCCATTTTTCTACTCTCTGTTTCTATGAGGTTTTTTGTTTGTTTGTTTGTTTGTTTGTTTGTTTTTAGTGCTTCCCTAAATTAAAAGACTGGCAGCTGCCATTAAGGTTTGCAGATAAACGTCTTTCAAGAGAAAATTGGAAGAAGGGCGATTTTGCCTGCTCACTCTGCCCTGAGCCCTGGGGAAAGAGGCACAATGAGTGCTCAGGCTCAGTTAAAGGCTGCTTCTTTGTTTGCCATAGTCTTGTGCAGTCTCTACATTTTCGTCAAACTGTGGCTTGCGAGCTGTGTGCGGCTCTTTGGCCCCTTGAGTGAGGCTCTTCCACAAAATACCACATGTGGGCAGACGCACATGTACAGTGCAATTGAAACTTCGTGGCCCATGAGCAAAAATCGGTTTTCGGCTCTCAAAAGAAATTTCAGTCGTTGCACTGTTGATATTTGGCTCCCTGGACTAATGAGTTTGCCGACCACTGGTCTTGTGTCTTGTGGACACCAGATTCCTTGGGTTTCAGAGCCAAGTGTTTGAGGAGCCTGTCCTTCTGACAATAGCCTGAAAAATTGGAGTGCTGGATGTGGGGTCAAAATCTTTTGTTCTTCAGGGAGAAGCTGGGCGTTGTGGGTGAGCTCCCAATTGTAAGACACTGTATGGGGGGTATTTTTCCCCTTCCTCCCATGTGTAGGGGTGGCTCAGCTGGTTTCTGGGTCTCTTTCAGAGAGAATCGCTCCATGCATGCTTATACATTTGGTGCGTCCCGGGGTGAAGGAGAGTTCCAAAGGCTCCCGTGTGGCCATCTGGTTGTTGGAGAACCCCCTGAAAGGCTTTCTCTGCCTTCCCACTAAAGTAGGAGGCTGAGTATCCTGTTTGTTGATGAATGAGGATGAGCAAAAGCTTCCCTTTAATTTTTTTAATTGAGTTGCATACTAAAGAACAAGACAAGAAAGAATGTTGGATGGGGTAAGAATAAAGAAATGAATACTGTCCACTTCCACCAAAAACTGAAATGAATTGAAATATTATATCTTCCCAATAAATTGGATCTGCTCTCTAGCTTTCTCCTTTTTCTTCCCAACTCTCCTTATTTCAAATACTGCTGTAAAATTCCCTAGATTTATTCATTAACAGTGCACAGAACACAGGCTTTTTTTTATAGGACGCCTAACAGCTTTAAGCACAGATTTGGCTCAATTTGAGGATCAAGGTCGTTTGTGTGTGTGTGTGTGTGTGTGTGTGTGTGTACAGTGGGGTTTGTCTAAACCCTAAGGCAACAAAAATTATCATCATTATAGAAAATTAAGATAGAAGGAAAATTACAGGTTATGTCACCATCCTCCACATCACTCTTTCCTTTAATGCACCCTCACAGTTGTTGACCAACCTAGGGGTAAACGCTTATACTGTAGCATTTTGGTCTTCCCCAGGAGCCTGAGACTAGCACTTGCAGCCCACAAATACTTTTCCATCTTTAATCTTATTTTCTTTTGTTAATTTTATGTACCTAACCCAGAAGTCGTTAGACCTTTTTTATTTATTCCAAGGTCTCCTGAGGCTTCATGGGATCTCTGGCTCTACCACAAAGCAAATAAACCATCATAAAAGTTCACGTGGCCCGGCTATCCACCCACCAGACAGGGTGCTGGCACCAAGGACTCCTTGGTGGGCCTCACAAGATAAAACGTCAGTCATCTCATTAAACAGGTCAGGTCAGTGCTCACTTTGGCAGCACATACACTAAAATTGAGATGAGTAAGGTTAACGATTAGTCACCATCTCTGTAGGTATTCAGTGGGCTAGTAGCTTCCGTGATTTGAGCACCAACTCAAATTTTTTCTGTTTTGTTCCTAATCTTTATGTGATCCAAGTTCCACTGAGCCCTGTTCCCACCTGTTAATCAGGACCGCAATCTGAGTAAAGGGCCCCCAAAATATTTTCATGAGTCCGAGGGGGTGTCTCACAGAGGTCCAAGACTTATTAGCCATTTTCCAGTCTCTTCATCTGCTCCAGCTCCCTCTGCTGGTCCTGGCCATGTCTTCAG